GTACTTTCTATAGTTCAACTGTACTTTATATAGTCCAGCTGTACTTTATATAGTCCAACTGTACTTTCTATAGTCCAGGTGTACTTTATATAGTCCAGCTGTACTTTGTATAGTCCAGCTGTACTTTCTATAGTCCAGCTGTACTTTCTATAGTCCAGCTGTACTTTCTATAGTCCAGCTGTACTTTCTATAGTCCAGCTGTACGTTCTATAGTCCAGCTGTACTTTCTATAGTCCAGCTGTACTTTCTATAGTCCAGCTGTACTTTCTATAGTTCAGCTGTACTTTCTATACACCAGCTGTACTTTATATACACCAGCTGTACTTTATATAGTTCAACTGTACTTTCTATAGTCCAGCTGTACTTTCTATAGTCCAACTGTACTTTCTGTACACCAAGTGTACTTTCTGTAGTCCAGCTGTACGTTCTATAGTCCAGCTGTGCTTTCTATAGTCCAGCTGTACGTTCTATAGTCCAGCTGTGCTTTCTATAGTCCAGCTGTGCTTTCTATACACCAGCTGTACTTTATATAGTTCAACTGTACTTTCTATAGTCCAGCTGTACTTTCTATAGTCCAGCTGTACTTTCTATAGTCCAACTGTACTTTCTATACACCAAGTGTACTTTCTGTAGTCCAGCTGTACGTTCTATAGTCCAGCTGTACTTTCTATAGTCCAGCTGTACTTTCTTTATTCCAGCTGTACGTTCTATAGTCCAGGTGTGCTTTCTATAGTCCAGCTGTACTTTCTATAGTCCAGCTGTGCTTTCTATAGTCCAGCTGTACTTTCTATAGTCCAGCTGTACTTTCTATAGTTCAACTGTACTTTATATAGTTCAACTGTACTTTATATAGTCCAGCTGTACTTTGTATAGTCCAGCTGTACTTTCTATAGTCCAGCTGTACTTTCTATAGTCCAGCTGTATGTTCTATAGTCCAACTGTACGTCCTATAGTCCAGCTGTACTTTCTATAGTCCAGCTGTACTTTCTATAGTTCAGCTGTACT